TGTGTATGTCTAAATGCTAATAGTGATAATATAAAGCATTAAACATTAACTTTAGTTTAATCATATATATATGAAATTAAAATATTACAAAAGGAGAGCATTTCAAAACATAGTAGTTTCGAATTGTATATGCTCTTTACAGGTTAAGGCTAAATATATACGTAAATATACTTATTGTGTTGCCCCTAGTACCCTAGATCATCCTTGATGTTTGCCAGCAAATTCCTCAAAATAGGATCGTCGAGACAAGCCTGAAACTCAACATCGCTAGGCTCCAACAGTTCCTAATTGATCCTATTATTGTTGATGATCTCTTCATCCCAACGCTGACATTTACATTTGTACATCAGAGTATGCATTTCCCCTTCAGTCCCTCGAGTTACTTTAATTTTGTAGTACTTGCAGGAGAAAGGGATTGTCCTTGGCTCCAACTTATTTTCAAACGAAGGTGGGAAAATTGCCCAGATTTCTCTGGCCCATCCTTTGCAGACCAAAGCAGGATTTGACCAATAATCTAGATCAATCTTAGGGAGGGTATAATTCCTCAAGAGATTAGTGTTAGCGTCTACTAAAAAAGCGCTTGGACCAGCAGAACCTTTTTCATCCTAAAAAATCTCTAGTCTTTCACCCCACTTGTTAATCCTTCTGTTTAAGCGATTTCTTTTCCTATATTTGTAATTCCTTTTCCACTTAGCTCTCCTATCCATGAACAAATGATGATTTTAACATTCACAAGGATACTGTAAAGAGCCCACTTCCTGAAGAATTTCGTTTATGAAGAAGATCTCAATTCCTTAGACTTCATTGTTATTGCCAATGTGTAATATTTTGATAGGGATCAAAGGGTCGGCCATTTATAATGAGGTCTAAGAGTTTTCTTAAAAGAGTTTGGGAACGTATTTGAAAGTAGAAAGAGAAATTATGATAGTTGATTTTAGAGAGAGAAAGTAACTTTTTGAAATGGCTTATTAGTGAAGGAAGTTAAGTGAAGTGTGTAAAATTATTTATATATAGCCATTTTTGAGTCACTTTTGACGGTTTACTTACTCTGTGAAGTTAGAACGTCGTGGTGAAACCACGTAATTACCCAGATTCAACACGTCATTACATGCCCTTCCAACTTCTTAATTTGGGGGGATGTATTTCATTAAATCGTCACAAAACTTCCTTGATAATATACCTTCCAAGTTAAATAATAATTACTGAACATTTCATTTTATATTGCCAACTGTAAGTGTCTTTTCAATAAATTGTCGGTAAATATTATTATCTGGACTTGGTAAACCGTGACAATAATTATGCGCAATACCCATATATCATAATTTGAGATTTAATAATATATTTGTGTAGGTAATATAAAAAACAATAAAATCCAATGCATCGCCTGATTATTTATCAAAATATTTATAATTGCATTAGATAAAGATAAATGTTCATCAAACGACCACAAATTGAACAAAATAAAGACAAATTTTTTACAGAGTTAAGACATGATTCCAAAAACATGGTTATGAAACTTAGTTTATTTGTAAACTAAGGACATGAAGTACATCATGTTTGTGTTCTTAACCCATTCATCAAAAGAAATTCAACTAAGTCAAAAAAGAACAAACCAGCAGACAAACCCTAGCTTTAATTAATCCTAACTATAATTGGGGATTTTAAGACTTCTTGGCTTTAGTTGATACTGGCTAGAAGATCAAGAGCTGTCACCGTGCTCTATGAGCACTATTCTTCCCAAACTACTTGGTGGCGATCTTCTTACCCTCTTCCATCGCCTTCTCATAACGAGTTCATCCTCATCTCTCTGGCACCGACGATTCCTCCTTCGTCTAGTAGGTGTTGCATCCTCATCCTTTTTAGGATCATGATCAGGATACCCATGACCCACTGTCAGTTGAAGCTGATTCTCCTCCTCCATTACTTGAGCTACTTCTTCTTCCTCCTTTTGCCATCTTTCGAGCTCTTGGCGTTCTTTTTCCTCCAAACGCTGCTTCTCTATCTCTTGGCACTCTAAAGGCAACTTTGCAAGCTGTTTGTTAACTTTGCTCTAGTTAATCTTCTTCGGTCCCTTTTGATGAGAGTTAGTAGTGCTTGAGGTTGAACCTTCCATTGTAGAGTGAAAGAATTTTTGGAGAACTTGTTGAAGTAAACTTTTCAGACAACAAACTTTTAGAGAGAGGGAAAGTAGATACACTTCGCGTGTTTATAAGAAGCAATTTATGATCTCAGCCTATATTTATAGGTTGAAATAAATGTCCTGGACACTCTGGCATTTTTTAATTACCGTAATAATTCTAAAAATTGCTTCAAACCTCTTTTGAAATTCACGTTCGGTGTTACTTGATGAATTATCGAAGGTTAATATGTTAATTTTGTTCTTACTATCGCCCGATTTGCAATTGTCACATTGAGCCCTAAAATGCTTTGTTTAGGGTTGTCTTTCTCAATTTTAATTGTTGCAATCCTCTATTTTAATTGAAATCAAGTCCCGCGAGACTTTGACAAACCATTTGCATTAATTTGTGTCTGAACGAAAATCAAACGGTACAATTTAACTAACTCTTCGACGCTTGGGCAAACTATAAAAACCTTTTGAATTAAGCGCCCTTCACACAATCTTGTCACCATTCACTCTCTAATCTTCCATTTCTTCAACCCTTAGTTCTTTCGAAAATTTCAAGGTGAAAATATGCATGGTTTCTCTTTCTTTGAAAGATAAACTAGACTCCTTCATAGTAAAAGATTGTCCAATTGATCAGGCTCATAAATTATATGAGTTAATTGGCAAATACCCTAATAATTTCATATCCGACTTCCTTTTGCATCTCTCGTCTTCCACCACTAGTTCAGGCATCATGAAAGGCAAAGCTCTATCGGGCCAGCATTCAAGTTTGATTTTTCCTTACCTAGTGTTAAACAAGTGTGTCCTGGGTAAAGCCACGCTTCGCCCTTCTGCGTTTATTGACTTAAATCGCTATTAAGTCAAAATCCAATTAAAGGTTGGGTTCAAGACCTCACAACCAGGGGTTTATTTAAACAAGTCTCCAATAACATCCCATCAATAATCATTAATTTCAAAACTTAGGGTTTCAAAAATTTGGAGCTTTTAAATATAAAACATAATATGAAAATTTCTTCCACATATCAATATTAAATTTATCAAAGATTCATCACACAACATCCAAAATCATAATTACTCAAAGCTTAATTGAATTGAAAAGCAAATAATTTTATTTTACAAAAACAACCGTATGGACGCAAAATAAAAAAAGGGAAGGGAGGACGGCTGCTACCGCCTCCCCGCGGCCACTGCTACTACTGCCCACGTATGCTGGCGGCGGGCGGATGTGGTGGTGGTGGTGGCACTCGGGCACCAAAGGTGGTGGTGTGCGTATGATGTGAGTAGGGAGAAAATAAGAGGAGAAAGTGGTAGTTTACCTTTTGGGTACTTTCACCTTTGGCCTTGAGGTTTGTATTTATACCTTTCCCAAAAACTCTCCTTCCTATTTAATTCCCTATTTACCCATAATGATTTTTTCTCCCACTCAAACTAGTTGTTGACTTTATTTAAATCCTTTTGACTTTAAAATTCCTTTATAAATTAAATACTTGCCCTAAAGTTTAAGTATAGAAATAAAATATTTCCAAAACCATTTAAGTAGACTAATTGATGGGTTTTATTTATATCAACCTTTAAAATATTTAAATTAGAAATGAATAATTCTTTTCTAATTAATTTAATACATTCATAAAATAATAAACTGATTTATAATTCATATAAAAATACGGGGTATTACATGTACCATTGAAATTAAGCTGATGTTCTTTGAGTTTATCACTAATGTTCTTTGAATTTGGCTCTTATGTTCATTGTGAAATGAATGGTGTCCTTCGAACAAGTGTATTATTTCGCACTAATAGACAACAGGCCATTTTCAACGGAAATTTTCCGTTGGAATCACCCTGAATTCCGTCGGAACCGGTTGTCGGAAGCCCGTTTGTAGGAAAAACGACCTTTTCCGTCAAAACAGTTTTTTCGACGGAATTTTTTCGTCGGAAGAGGTTTTTCAGGCACCAGAAAGTCCGTTGGAAATTTCCGACGGAATTTAAATCCGTCGGAAACTGCTGTAAAAATAAAAAAATAAAAAAAAACCCACCACCCTAACCATAACCCGAAAAACCCACCCACCACCCTCACCCTAACCCGAAAAACCCACCCACCACCCTAATTATAACCCGAAAAACCCACCCACCACCCTAACCCTAACCCGTATTCCCTCCCCACCACCACCACCACCACGACGACGTCCAACCCCTTTTCTCACCAAAAAATCAACAAAAAATAAAACCAAATTCGAATAGAATTACAAACACAAATACATACCTTAAACCCCGAATTAACAAAAAATCAAAAAAAAATCAACAAAAAATCAAACCAAATTCGTACAAAAAATTAAACAAAAAAAAAATTACAAACCCAAAAACATACCTTAAAACCCGAATTGAGTTCGAATTTGGTTTATTAAGGCCAAATTTGACCATGAATAGTCTAGATCTAGACTTTTCATGGTCAAATTTGACCAAAAAAACCATTAATTTACTGTCGCACCACTAGCTGTCACACCACCTGCCGGAAAACATCAATCAAAATAAAATAAAGGGGCGTATAGAGGAAGGAGAAGGGAAGAGGAAGGAGAAAGGGGAGAGGAAGGAAAACGGGCGTATAGAGGAAACAGTAGTACATAATTGAGTTTATGTAACACATTTTTGGTAACACATTTTTAAATGCAAAATTATATTATAAGTAACACTTTGGTAACACTTTTATATAAGGTAACACTTAAAGTAACACTTTTAATGTAGGTAACAATACCAAGTAACACTTTTAAAATAAGTAATATTTAATGGTAACACTAATTTATTTATTTATTTATTCAATTTCTCCACGGTTTTCTTGGAATTAACCCGCATTCGCTCTTAAAAAACCAAAAAAGACTACAACGTCTTTTTTCATTCACTCTTCTTCTTATTTCTCCTCTATCAAGATGATGGTTCGAACTTTGAAGGTAGATAATCAAGGGAATCTAGAACTTAACAATGGTGGTCGAACTACCTTTCCTCTCCCCTTTTTCTCTCTCTTATTGAACTCTTCAATTTCTAGGGTTCTTCATTTTGAACGCTAATTCTATCCCCAGTTTGTCTCTTTAGCAGTTTAAGGTTCCTCATAGTTTGGAAAGTCTGCTCCGATCTACCGATGCACCGCTGCAACGCTGCACCACTAAATCGCCGCAACTATGAACATTGCGCCTCTAAACGTCGCGCCACCACTGCACTGTCTAGGTAGGCTTTCAAATTTTTCTTCTCCTGCAATAATTTGGATTGAATTAATCTATTTAATAGCTGTTTTTGTTAATCGATTATTTAATTAAATTGTACTCATTAGTAATAATTCAATCGTATTTTTCGAATTGCAGTGATTTGATTCGAATTTTAGGTGGATTAAAAAAAACTTCGAAGTTCTAATCGTATTTCGGCTTGAGTCGTGAAAATTCTCTCTGATTCATTCCATGTTGAATCTATTTTTATTATCATCGCAGGCTTTGCAAGATAAAAAATTGAAGGGACAACTTGCTATTAAAGAAGAGTTGTATAAACGATCTACAAAAACAGCAACGAATGTTGAAAAGGTCGCCTTACGAATCCTTTTATGTACTGAAACTCTTCCCCACTTATATAATTAATAGGATTTTAGTTATGTTTTATAAATGTTCTTTCTTTTTTATGGTTTCTAAACACAATATGCAGAACTAAATCCCACTTTAAAGATTGTTATAGCCTTGTAGACCTTGTTAAATAATGATAAGAACATGTAATATACAAGTAGGGGCATTTGGGTATTGATATGCATTGTAAGTATACAATCCTGAGCACATCCCTGAAACTATCTACAATTTGAGATTATAGAGTACAGAGTGAAGTAGTTGTTTATAAAGCCATTGATTGAATTCCTTTTAGATTGAATTACTTAGCATATTCTGTCTTCACTAGGGAGTAATGTAATATAGTGCATACGAAGCTACAGTAATGTATAACTTTAGTGAGAATTTATCTGGCATACCAACTGCCTATGTTGTCAACTTTTTTGTATATCCTACCATCATGACAAGTAAAGTTGATTTATTTTCCTTCTAATTTTGAAATGAGATTGTTTATTTCTCCGTAATTATTTAGTTGGCTTTCTTACTGGCTGATCTCCGTATTGTGGAGAAAAGTGAAGCCAAGATCAGATACAGGAAGGCTCATCTTCAATAATACTTATACATTGCTTAGTAACATGTTTTTGGACCTTTTCTGGGCAATCTAGGGGTATGGACAGCTTAATATGCACTTACAAAGCTAGAGTATAGAGATGTATTTGTCTCCATCTCTATTTTCCTCCCTAATATGTTTTTCAATTCGTATAAGTTCGGATTTTGTTTCAAGTTGTGCTTTTGGACCTTGGTAGAGCAAGACCCGAAAACTAGCAAAATATTGTTTTAGGCTAAGGTTTAACAAGACCTAAACCTTTATTTGTGTGTTTGTGTGCTTGAATGTATAAATTTAGTGAGAATTACCCCCAAGGTCCCAGCTCAAGGGGAACAGTCGGATTATATTTGCATTTCTGATATCAATTTATATTAGTTTTAATTGAAACTATATTTGTTTATTTTACTTTTGGGTCTATGTTTGCCTTTAAATACAATTTTTCGTGCGTTTTGTTGCCTTTATTTTCAGGCTGGTTTGATTAACAAGAAGCTTGGGGTTTATTAGTTTGATTTCTTGTCGTAAATCCATTCCTGCTGCTCGCGGTGGCCACCTTTCTTCTTGGAGCTTCGAGGTATATTAATTTCTTGCCCTTTTTTTTTTCTTCTTTCAATTGTTATGTTTTGATGTTTCGATTATAATTTGATCAAACCATGTAAGAATTATGTTTTGATTGATATTAAGATATGCTAATTATGTTATGAATTGTGATTTTCTATAGCTGAATTTGATAGATTATCTATTATATTGATCAAGTATTACAATTATGAATTTGGCAAATTGATAACAACTGATTTAAGAATAAATTTAATGGTGCATGTTTTACCTGTACATGTTTTACAGTAATATGAGAATTTCTAGTTCCTCGGATATATATCAAGACTATTTTACTTTACTTTTAATCAAGACTATTTTATCTTTAAAAAAAATGCTAACTTAAACAATTTTTCTGTTTCATATGTAGGTCTCTATCTATTTGACGAGCATATCTCGTTATTTCAGCTATCTAATATCACCTTTTATGCCTCGGAAGAAAATCTGTTGCTGAAATCAAAAAGGATTTTCACGAAATTCAAAAGTACTTGAAGAATGCTTTCATGACCGAGATGAAAAAGATAGACAAGCATTGCAAATTTATTTTTGCCCCGTATTTTGAAGGGTACGTCCTAGCTAGCTTTGTCATTATTAATTATCATATTTACTAATTTCACAAAGAAATTTACGTTAACAACATATATGCTATTCAACCGGAGAAGAAACCTCGAAATTCAGAATTGTCCAAAATAATGAGCTTGTTAGTTGGAAAATTCTAGAATGATTTGTTTTAACAACATTAATTAAGTACTTTATTATTCTCATTTGGTTTTAATTTTTTTTGTAGGCCGTACAATATATATAAGTCACATCTTAAAGGCATTGCGTTTGAAAAAAGAGTAAATCGGAATTGTTGCACTTAAGAATGGAGGTACATATGTGTTTGCCCATTTCCTAGCAATTTTTCATATAATAATTAAATATTTTAATGTATCTAATGTTATATTTCCATGTATTAGTGCACTTAACAACCAAGAAATACTTATTCCGGATACTATGTGATGAGTACATGTATGAAATCATTTCTACATACCATGAATGTAAGGGTGTCAGTTAATTTACCCCTTTTAATGAATATATGTTGATAGTAGGGTGCAAACAATCTCATATGTTTTTGTCTCTGTTGTGCTGCTATCTTTCTCGATTGTTTCTTGCTTTACTTTGTTGATTGTCTAGCATCTTGGTGGAATGTGGCTGTTGCTTGAAGTGCTTGAACCTTTGTTGATCTAAATTTTAGAATGATCAGGAAAGGGTTGTTATAAGTTGTACTATTGTCTATTCTTCCAACTGATAAGATGTAATATTAAGTTGTTTCCTTATAGCTGACTTCTTTAGCAAGTATATTTCCTTAGGTTTTGATGCTTGCTTGATGCTTCTGCTGCTCTTGCCTGTTGTTGTTGTTGCCTGTTGTTGCTGTTCCGCTTATGTGCTCCTGCTGTTCTGCATAGGTGCTGCTATTGTTGCCTGCTGCTACTGTTCTACTTATGTGTTGTTGTTCTGTTTCCGAGCTGCTGCTGTTTTGTTTCCGAGCTGCTGTTGTTCCGTTTCCAAGCAGCTGCTGTTTGTAATTTTTTTTTTTTTGTAAGAAATTGTAATATTACAAGCATTTATTAATAAAAATATCTAAGTTTATATATATATAATGATTTATCAATTTTACTTTTATTTAGGCATAAAAGGCACCAAATCGAGGGGAAATCGGTGCCCTTAATTTATGTTAAGGGCATTGGTTTGAACCGGTGCCCTTAGTCGGCTTTGAACTAGTGCCGATTACACTTTTTCTACTAGTGATATTAAAACGTTACCATTTAATTATTAAGATGTTACATTAGTTTGCAAAAAGTGATACATAATATCGAATATGGTGATCCTATATGTCAAATGATGATTGAAAAATGTTACCTAATAATCAACGAGGTGTTACATTAGTTCGTAAAAGTGATACACAATGTCGGATAAAGTGTTATTATATGATTGAAAAATGATACTAACGATAAGTAAGTGTTACCTAAGAAATATAAAAAAGTGTTACATAAGAGAGTTTATAGTAACACTTTAAAAAATGTTACTATACTTTACCCAAAGTGTTACATGAGACCTTAGGTCATATGAGCGAATGTATCACCCACTAAAGTGTTACCTATTGTCTATAATAATACTTTTATCAGTTTATGTAACACTTTGTGGGTGTTACTTAAGGTTAGTTTTACACTAGTGAAAGAGAAGGAAGACAAGGAGGAGGAGAGAGAAAGAGTAAATCTTAAAGGAGGAGGAGGAGGAGAGAGAGAAGGAAGAGGCGGATGAAATGAGGAGGTCAGAAGGGTTTGTTTTTTTTTTTTTTATATATAAATATATTCCGACGGAATATTCCGTCGGAAAGTTAACTGTCCAGCGGAATATTCCACCGGAAAGTTAACTTTCTGGCAGAATATTCCGTCGGAAATCCCATATATTCCGACGGATATTTTTTTCCGTTGGAATTTCTGAATTTTCCGACGGAAATATGTGTCCGTCGAAAATAGTCCGTCGGAAATCGGCCCATTTCTAGTAGTGCCGTTAGAGGGTTCTGAATTAATTATGGAGCTAATTATTCAGTGAAATCAAATGATTGAAATGTCTAGCTAGAGGCCGCTTCCGATCAGTGAGATTAATATAATTAATCTTGTTTCGGGGTTTTCTGATGTCCTGCGGGAGAGTTACAATTCCGATACTGGAATCGGACGCCTGTACCTGAAAACAAACGGATGCTCCGGATGATTGGAGATCCGCCTCCGACGGTCAAGTTAGTACTTGATTAAGGAGTAATTAATGCGGAAATTAAAGTGATTGAGTCTCTCTAGGTGAGAGTGTTTAATGTGTGTAATCTGCGTAATCCACCTTAATGAGGATTAAGGGAGGTATTTATAACCTCGGGAAACGTTCCAATCCTAGGTTTAGGTTAACCTTGGGCTGATTGGGCTTCCCTCGGAAGTTGGGCCTAGGTGGCCGACTTCTCCATTAGGCATGGAGTATGCCACGTGTCATGACATAATAGGTCCAGGGTGGACGAATAAGCGTGTGCCACGTGGCAAGCCCTGAGAGGTCCAACTGGGGGACACTTTGGCAGGACCTGATTGGCCCACGTGGCGCATTCCGATTGGTGGGAGCAAAATCCCCTAATCAAATCTCATAGCTTGATCTTGACTAAACCCCACATGGCACACCCAAAACACGAAACCAACCAAGGCGGCAGATTAAGCCAGAAGGCGAAAATACGTCAATGAATATATTTAAGCCAAGAACGTCGAATTCTGACCTTAAAACGTCAAAACCGAGCGTTAAACGTCAAGTCAATTCTATGAATCGACAGAGACGTAAAATAAGTTAATCAACACATCGTATTAGATACGAGGCCTTGGCGTATTATGTTCATAGGGGCAAGCCCGAGCCATTTGCTTCGCATGGGCTGCCAAGCCATGCCGCAAGCAACGGCCTAGCAGCGTATAACGGTAGCAGCACAAGCGAGGCCTAGTATGCTACTGGACTGTGCTTGTGGGTTGCGTGCTTACTCGTGCTTGCTTGAGAAGCTAGCTGGGCCTCGCATGCGTTGGCCAACACCCAGCGGTGGGCTTCCAGCTAGCGAAGTAGTGAGGTCAGCAAGCTGGGCTTTGGGTGCAAGGCCGCAAGCGTGCAAAGCCTTGCTGCCCAAGGCTAGCTGCACGAGCTGCCCGGGAGTTGTTAGGGGTGACCCAGGTTACCTTTCTCTCCAAGCACTTGTGGTCCTCCCAACCACTTCCCTTGTGTGAGTGCCAAGTGTTGATTGCTTATTGCTTTTTGATATCCAACTTAATTTAGAATTAAATTAATTGCCTAGGGTTTACTTTTTAGATGGTGATTTGTAAGAGAATCTGAGTTTTTAGGATCTCCATTTAAGAGTGAGAAAACCAAGAGTCTTATTTTCTTGAGTCATGTTGTTCCGAGTTCTAAGCTAACTCGGGACGATCAAGGTTGGGCGCAAGTGTGCAAAGTCGGAGGGATTCCATTTGGGGTTCTAAGCTCGCATGTCGTGTCAAGCTCAAAGTTTGTGCTCATGTTTGGGTGAAGCACGCTTCAAGGGTATGCATACAAACCTTTTCATGAATCGCCATGCTTAGGTCCGTTCGGATTATCCTATCAATTGCCGCATATTATGATTATGAGATATGGCAAATGGACGTCAAAACCTTCTTCCTTAATGGGATTTTGGAAGAAACTGTGTACATGACACAACCGGAAGGTTTTGTTGATGCAAATAATGCTGGGAAGGTATGCAAGCTTAATAAATCCATTTATGGATTAAAGCAGGCAAGCAGAAGTTGGAATTTGCGATTCGATGAAGCCATTAGTGAGTTTGGTTTTATCAAGAATCCAGATGAGTCTTGTGTTTACAAGAACGTCAGTGGGATTGACATAGCATGTCTTGTCTTATATGTCGACGACATATTGGTCATTGGAAAAAGCATTCCAATGTTGGAGTCTACAAAGGCTTGGCTTAGAAAGTGTTTCTCAATGAAGGACTTGGGAGAGGCACAATACATATTGGGCATCAAGATCTATCGAGATAGATCTAAAAGGATGATTGGATTGAGCTAAAATACTTATATCGATAAGGTAATGGCACGATTCAATATGGAGGAAGCTAAAAGAGGCCACCTACCCATGCCACATGGCATAACTCTCAAAGACGCCTAATGAGCGAGAGAAGATGAGTCTGATTCCATATGCTTCTCTTATTGGATCGATCATGTATGCCATGATATGTACTAGGCCGAATGTATTGTATGCCTTGAGTGCTACGAGCCGATACCAATTAGAGCTAGGAGAGGCGCATTGGATTGCGGCCAAGAATATCCTAAAGTACCTAAAAAGGAACAAGGATAAATTCCAGGTTTATGGTGGGAGTAAGGATTTGGTTGTTGAAGGTTATAAGGACGCAAGCTTCCAGACTGACAGAGACGACTTCAAGTCACAATCAGGATACGTGTTCTGTCGTAATGGAGGAGCGTTTAGTTGGAAGAGTGCTAAGCAAAGCACGACCGCAGACTCTACAATAGAAGCCAAATACTTGGCAGCTTTGGAAGCAATTAAGGAGGCAGTTTGGATTCGTAAGTTCGTTGGTGAACTTGGTGGTGTCCCTTCAATAAAGGGACCAATAGACCTCTACTGTGATAATAGTGGAGCTATTGCTCAGGCCAGGTAGCCAAGGGAGCATCAGAAAGTTAAACATGTCATGAGGCGATTTCACATGATAAGGGAATGGAAGTCCGAGGGTGAAATCAGAATTTGCAAGATTGGAACGAACGACAATGTAGCCGATCCACTCTCTAAACCTTTGCCTCAAGTGAAACACAACAAGCACGTTGAGGCAATGGGAATCAGACACATTGGATATTGGCGTTGATTTCCCTATTTGTGTGTTTTAATTAAGTTGTGGAGATCTTAATTTAAAACACCTTGTAAAACCATTCATTTATGGAGTAATTTAATTTTTCTGTAAATTATTATTATTCCATTTCTATTTAATTGAGGTTTAGAATAAAATAATGACTCTATTCGATTTGAACATTCAAAATAGGGTATCAAGGTCATGTCTTGGATAAAGAAACACCTATTAAGTGAACGTTGAATACCATATCAAAATTATCCCTAATCGAGGTCATTTGAAAGTTGGACGACTAATGACCGTGTGAGATTAGTGTGTAGTATGATTTATATCACCGTTTCTTGTGCTACAAGGACATGATTGTCATAAATCATTTGCACATGTATTAGTTTGGAACTATACCGGATCGACCTATGAGAATACCTTTAAGAGATTTGACAATCGTCATAAGTATATCGCTCATTATAACCATTGTAACCTCTTTCCTCGACCATGAATGTTGTTAGTTTCTTGTTTGAGTACTAGTCCGCTTTGATGTTGTCAAATGTCTGCCGTAAAAGGGGATTATAAAGGCAACAGGGTGGCTAGGGCCTCTTAGAAAGGGAAGCTAACAATGCAAGACTAGGAATGACCCCCCTATTAACAATAAGGAGCATGTCTTTGTTGTTTACAAGGCATCTCGAAGAGCGAGACTGTGAAAATGCATGGTCGTGCTCAGATGGATTTAAGAAATCATCTACTTATTAATAGTCGAACTCGAAAATCGAGAAACACTTCTGAACGTAATAAGGATGATGAAGAATCTTACCGTATAGTTCATGAAGAGACATTAAGTGAAATAGGAAATAGGCTATACACAATTTGCACTCTTGTCCGGAAGGACAAGTGGGAGATTGAAAGGAATGGTATCCTTCGAACAAGTGTATTATTCAAATAGAGGGTTCGAAATTAATTAGAAAGCTAATTATTCGATGAGTTCAAGTGATCGGAATGCCTAGCTGGAGGGCGCTTCTGATCAGTAATATTAATGCATAATTAATATTACAGCTTAATCTTGACTGAACCTTTTGGGTCACACCTAATCGTGTAACCGAACCGAAACGACAAACTAATCCGAAGGATTAAATGAGTCAATAGAGTATTACGAACAAAGATGTCGGATTTCGAGCTTAGAGCATCGAAACCAAGCGTCGTAAGGCGAGTCGAATTTAGGAATCGACGAGACCGAAAAAACTGACCAACCAAAAGTCATTGCTGGAGCAATATGGCTAGCAAGGCTGCGGAATGCCGAGCTAGTTAGCATGCTAGCATCACAAGCTAGCTGGCGTAGCATGGGCAGCACTGCTTGTGCGTATGCTAGCGTGCTAGCACCAGCCGCACTATCGCTAGCAAGGCCAGCATCACGCAGATGCTTGCTGCGCCTTGCGAGTGATTGCAGCAACTAGCTAGGCTAGTGATAGCAGCACAGTAGCAGCAGCTCGCAAGCTGTGCTTGCTGTAGGTGCGCCCAGCATGCCCAACAACAGCCCGCATGCATGCAAGGCACGCTTGCTGGGTTGCCAGCACACGCGACCAGCTGGCAGGCCCAGCCAAGGGGCCAGGCCGCTAGCGAGGCAGCCTTGGCGCCCAAGGCAGGCCACGCCTAGCTGGTACACCGTGAGTGGTGCATTGTGTGTTAGGACTGGTTGTGAAAATTGCTTGGGGAGCAAGGGGTGGATGATCCCCCCATATGGTCCTCACCTAACCACTTGTTCTCCCCTTGCCACTAGTCATTTGGTGATTCATTTGGATATTTAATTTAATTTAGAATTAGTTTAAATTCCATTTCGCATTCTTTCCAACTCTCCCACATTGATGGGAGAAGAGACTTCAAGGGCTCCTTCCCTTATAAATACCATTCATTTGGCATTGGGAAAGGACACTTGAGTTGTGAACTTGAAGGGATCTCCAAGAAGAGAAAACCTTCGTTCTAATACTCTAAGTTATTTTTAGCCTAGCCCCGACTAAGCTTCGGGGTAAGGGCCGGGTCAATTCGGGAGTGAGGGTGTTAGCCGTCGGAGGTTCACGCATTTGCGGCACTCTACACTTTCAATCCCGAGCTCTAAATGAGAGCGAAGCACGCATCAAGGGTAATGATTCTTTCTGTTTCCTCTTGTTAATTATGTGATTATGGTTTTAATACATGCTTAGTTACTTTAATTTGTGTGTGAATTTTGGGCGGGTTTCCTTCCGCGTGATGTTGGACATCACGAAACCTAACAGCTTATTGAGGAGTAAAATTAGGGGTGGCAAAAACTGACCCGACCCGAAAACCCGACCCGAAAACAGCGGGTTAGGGTTCAGAATTTCGACACGAAAACTTAAATGGGTTGACACGAACCCGACCCGAAATTAAATGGGTTAGGTTAAGGTTGAAAATTTCAACCCGAAAATGACCCACGTAACCCGAAATTATTTTCGGGTCAAAATCAAGTCGGGTCAACCCGAACCCGACCTTATAACCCGAAAAAGTCTTTTTAAAAAAAATATATATATATGGCATTATTATGGCCCAACCAACTAACCAAGCCCAACTGCCCATTGCCCAAGCCCAAAAGGAACTATAAAACACTAAAACCCTAAAATTTTCATCAGCTGATCAGCCGTTTTCATCATTTCATCTTTTTTCATTTTCTCTCTCCTCAAATAGTCAAACCTCAATTCTTTCTCTCGTCACTCCTCTAATCCTCTTCTTCTGTCTTCTTCACTGAGTTCACTCCTCTTCTTCTGTCTTCTAATCTTCTTCTCTGAATTCTGTCTTCTTCTGTTTCAAAGGTAATTTCTTGTTAATTTGTTTTCGTTTCGTTTCGTTTTGTAGTGTATATGTAGATATACTGATCAAGTGGTTACATGTAATTATTACTTACTTGTGTGTAAGGCTGATTAGATGTGTAATTTAATGTATGAAACTTTTAATGCTCTTTTTGATAGTGGTCTTTAGCTTTTACTCATATTAGTGCCTTAGTGGTCTTGTAGAGTTATACACTTATACTTAATATAGTGTTAATTTAATTTTTATTTTAATCTACTTCATATAATAAGATATTCACACAGAAAGTTAGTACCTTGATTGCAACTCACGACATTTGAGTCGATCACATTCTTAGTTCTTAAGAAGGTACGATATTAATCAATAAGACTTCTGATCTTGTGAGCAATCTGAGCATGGAGTATGGATATTAGATATTCTTGCATTTAACTTCCTTTTTAATTTCAATCTCCATATCTTTCATGTCAAGTTGTATCTTTTTCTTTATGTGTTTCTAATTATATCTTTTACTAATTACTATTAGATCAGGTTTTGTCTCTTGTTTTAAATGTTTTGTTTTGTTATAATTTTTGGCAGAAATAATGGACACCCATGTTCACCAGCTTTCTTCCGGGGAAGAGGAGGAGATTGACTCTACAATAAAAGACAAAGGAAAGGGTAAAAACCAGAACACTTCTTCTGATAAACCTCGTGTGATTCTTACTGGTAAGAAACGTCCACGTCGTCTTTCTTCTGGTGTTTGGGTGCATTTTGAGTTTTTAGATGAGCCTGATGAAAATGGTAATCTGATTTGCAAATGTAAAAAGTGTGGTTTACGTTTTAATGGTGATAGTAAGAATGGAACTGGGAATCTTCATCGTCATTTGAAAAATTGTAAACAAAGGTCTTTTAGGGATGTTGGTCAAATGATATTAGAGAAAACATCCTCTGGTTTAGGAAATAGATTGCCTGATTTTGATGCTGGTTATTTCCGTGAATTATTGTCTATTGCTATTGTGGAGCATGATATGCCATTTCAGTTTGTAGAGTTCAAGGGTTTTAGGAGATGTTTTAATTATTTGCATCCTGATTTCAAACCTGTCACTCGAAACACTATCAAATATGATGTGCTTAAGATGTATAAAAGAGAGAAAGAGAAATTAAAAGCGGTTTTGGGCTCAACTTGTAGTAGAATTGCATTGACTTCTGATTGTTGGACTTCTTTAACCACCGATGGTTATATATCATTAACAGCTCATTATGTTGACAATTCTTGGTGTTTGCAAAAAAAGATCTTGAACTTTTCTTACATTGGTCCTCCCCATACAGGAATTCATTCATGTGATCATGTGTATGGTTTGTTAAAGGAATGGGGTATTCAGAAAAATATTTTTTCAATTACATTAGATAATGCTTCTTCAAATGATGTTTTTGCTGAAAATCTAAAAGGGGAACTTGAGTTGATTAATGGTGGGGAATTTTTTCATGTAAGGTGTTGTGCTCACATTCTTAATTTAATTGTTCAAGATGGTTTAAAAGAGATTGATGCGGCTGTGTATAAGATTAGAGAGAGTGCCAAGTATTGTAAGAGTTCACAAGGTAGGAAACAAAGGTTTTTAAGTTGTGTAGCACATGTTGAAATTCAATCTACTAGAATTTTACAACAAGATGTTCCTACTAGATGGAATTCAACTTACATGATGCTTGATTGTGCTTTGTATTTTAAAAAAGCTTTAATTCATTTTCAAAAAGTTGATGCCAATTATGTGCATTGTCCTTCTGCGGAAGAATGGGGTAGAATTGAGAAAATATGCAAGTTTTTGAAAGTTTTCCATGATGTCACACTTGCCTTTTCCGGGACCAAATATCCAACTTCCAATCTCTACTTTCATAGAGTCTTGCAGGTTAGGTTGTTGTTACAAAATGAAATGAAAAGTTCAGATCTTTTTATGCAAAAAATGGCTTGTAAGATGTATGAGAAATTTGGAAAATATTGGTCAGAATTTAGTACATTTATGGCTGTTGTTGTGGTGTTGGATCCACGATATAAGTTGCAATGTGTCAATTGGGGTTACATGAGGATATATGGTCAGCATAGTATTGAATACGAGCTTGAGTTCTCTAAGGTTAAGGATGCTCTACGGAGGTTATACGAGGCTTATGAATCTACTCATTCTTCATCAAGCAAAGCTATTCCCACTACTAATGCTTCCAATGAAGCTTCTGATGATTTTATGATGGTAAACAAACTTTCTGATGCATTGACCTATATTGCAAGTGAAACAAATGCCAAGTTTTAATGATTGAGTAGCAAATCCTTATATAACTCAACAGCTTTTAGTTTGCATCTTTATTTATAATCTGATTTTTATTTTCTGATTTTTTGTGTCATCTAATCTGATTTTTATTTTCTGATTTTTATAATCTGATTTATATTTTCTGATTTTTTGTGTCATCTAATCTGATTTTTATTTTCTGATGTAATCTAAATCTTGGTATATAGGATTTTGATAGTTTCTCTCAAGAGCAATCAAGTGTGGCAATCAAATCTGAAATTGATATGTATTATGAGGAGCCACTTATCCCTCGAGGCACCAACCTTGATATTTTGTCTTATTGGAGAACTTGTTCGGTCCGCTATCCTGTATTAGCTATAATTGCTAAGGATGTTCTTGCTGTCCCCGTATCAACCGTGGCCTCCGAATCAGCTTTTAGTACTGGAAGTCGGGTGCTTGATTGTTATAGAAGTTCTTTAAAATCAGAAACGGTGGAAGCTATCATTTGCTTAAGGGATTGAGCCTTTGGGGAAGGTAATAAATGATTTTTTATACAAGTAATGAAGTAATACAATACTTCTAACTTTTATTTTTAGTACATGTCATACATTATTGATTGTAATTTGCTATTGTTTTTCTTGTAGCAAATATGGATCCTCAAATGGAAATGCTATGTGGATCAGTTATGAAGCTTAAGGTGGAGGACAACAACGACAATCATGACACACCACGTTCCTTGCCCGAACTTGAACAATTTGATGAGAATGCTTCTTCAAACATTGTTTGATCATTTCTGATTTTTTAAAAAACATTTATTTCTTTTTAATTGTGGTTTGTAATTTGTTTAAGACTAATTTTGTTATGTAATAGTTAATTAGGTATTTAGACTTGTTAGACTTTATTTGGTTTTCTACTTTTCTTAAAATCTTTAAGTTTGGAAATCATGTTTGAAAACATTAGGTAAAAAAAAAAACAGGTTCTTGGTACAAAATCAGGCTGAAAAAAAAAACAAGTTCTTGGTACAAAATACATTCTGTTAATTGGTACAAAATCAGGCTGAAAAATCAGGTTATTAAAGTCAAAAAGAAAATTTAAAAAAATAAAATAAAAAAATCAGGTCAAATCAGGTCGTTTTCAGGTTGACCCGAACCTGAAAATATCAGGTTCAGGTTGGGGTTTTCAACCCGAAAACTTAAATGGATCAGGTTCAGGTTAGGATTTAGCTGACACGAAACCCGAAAACCCGAACACGAACCCGACCTGACCTGATCCGTTTGCCACCCCTAAGTAAAATCATCAAGTGGGTTATTGTCTTATTTTATAGAAACTTAATAAAAACAATATTTTTGTTTGATGAGAGGAATTCTAAATTTCCTCATAAATATTATCTCTTTTATTATCATGTTTTGCTATTTATTTTATATTATGTTTGAGGGTGAATTCCCAAACAGCAGGTCTTGTATGGACCCGGTCTACAATAAATTATTGTACACCCAAAATTAAATTCTCTCAAAAAATATAGTCATATTTTGGATGATATAATCACTTTTTTTGATGATATAATTATCTAGTTGTGAGCCATAATTTGAATTATATAATCTTATTTAAAACAATTTAATGAGATGATATAATTATCTTTGGATGATATAATTATTTTTTGAATGATTTAATTAATGTTTGATACTTTTTTTAACGATAAATTCACTTTTTGAATGATACTTTAAATAATCAGTTTCTAGAGTATATAATCACTTTTGTAATGATATAATCACATTTCGTATGATGATATAATCACCTTTCATATGATATTTTAGATGGTTGGGTGCACAATAAGTTATTGTGCACCGGATTTATTCTATACTTTACCATTCCCAAATCGTTCCATTACACAAATCCATTATAACATTCTTGAATTAAGAAAATAAAATAATATAAAAGTGATGACTTATCCAATTTCAATTTTACATGGCTTTCCGTTGAGTGAAGTTTGCTCATTATTTAAGAAATTTAATAACCATCTATGACGCATCTCAAAATTGAAAATAGCATTAAAAAAATATGAACTATTGATACACATGTATGAATTTGTCATATTTCTCAACCTATAAATTATTGTAAGTCACATTATCTAAATAGATCTTTTAGTTTTGTCCCTTGATGCAAAACTATTTGATGTACCACTTGCACTTCCATTAATTAATATAAAATATACTATTTTCCCTTTTATTAATTAATTTGATATACCACTTGTACACTTGCAGGTCCATGAATAAACATAATTATACCATATGCACTTTCAGTAATGAGCTTTTTGTACCACTTGCCTTGTATAAATTGATTCTTGGTGAAATCCGAGATGAAGAGAGGTGTGTATGGGAACTTGGGAAGGAGAGGGCATCAAAATATTACATTTTTTTTATCTTGATTATATAGTTAACTAATTGAAGATTACAGATTTGATACTAATTAATGGATGGATGCGATACAAAGATAAATTCTTATATTTCTATAAATAAATTAAAGATTGAATCTTAAATCTTGAATCTATTTTACCTAGTATATTATGGAGTATTCAGCATTACACTTAAAATTTCATACTTCCTTCGTTTCTAAGTATTTGAAATGATTGACTTTTTTCTACTATTTATATTTTAATTTTGACCATTAATCTGTAACGTATAATAAAAAAAATTTATCATAAAATATATTGTTAAATATGTATTAATATGAAGTTTTATAATATCAACTTTTTACTAATATTTTTACTAATATTAAATTATATATATCTAAGGTCAAATTAGTATATTGACATATATGACAAGTTTAACTATATTAATAACTCATTAACAATCTTTTTTTTTTTTTTAAATTTATTCATAAACAAAGAAGGTATAGACCCAGAAAAAGGGTGGGAATTGTAAAAATAACCAACTTGGGATTTCTTAGAATCTTAGTTACGGAGTACTTTTTTGTTTGTTTCGGATTTTCAATTTTGTTTTTTGATAACCAAAAACAAAATCTGGAAAAGTAGTTTATACTTATCTAACCTCATTTTTCAAAGTTAACACAATATATACATATTTAAAAGCAACTACTCCCTCCATCCCAAAATAATTTAATTTTTTTTTCACTATTTATTCATATATTAACTTTGACTGTAGTTTTTTACTAGCATAATAAAAAAAATTATCATAAATATGTTATTAGATAGATATTTATATAAGCTTTATAATATAACATTTTTTATAATTTTCAGTAATAGTTAATTATATTAAAATAAGGTCAAATTTGTGAATTGGCTTGTATGCAAAATTTGACTATGTTAGTTATTCTAAATTAGAAGAAATACCTTCTATTTTTATTTTTAGAAAAACCAGCCAAAAACTCAGAATTAATTGCATTTTACAACCTTTTAAAACTTTAATGCCTTTTTTTATTTTACCACCTATAAGACTTATTTTAAAATGTCAATTCATAAAAGACATAAAATTAGATAGGATAAAATTAGATGTCACTACCTTTTACCTTGTTTCCAGTCAAATTTTCCGCTGCTAGGCCCACATGTGATTATTTTGAACATTTTAAAGCATTTTCTCATCGATTTGTTTCCTATAATCTAATCTCGGGACTAGGGATGTCAGTGGGGCGGGTCAAGTAGGAGACCCGCCCCATCCCCGCCCCAGTGGGGCGGGGATGGGTCTCGGTTTGGCGGGTGGTGGGGCGGGGATGGGGATGAAAACGATACCCGCCATGGGTGATGGGGCGGGGGTGGATTTTAAGTTGTACCCGCCCCATCCCCGCCCCGCCCCACCCGCCCCACTTCGTACCCGCCCCATCTCCACCTCATACCCACATCTATATACTTTTATATTATTTTATAAAATAATTACGTGAAGTAAATATTAATTATAATATTTGTACTACACTTATATTATAAACAAAAATGTATGTAATATTAAGAATTTTTTTTTAATATTATAATCCGTATTAATTATGTAGGATTGTGTATTTGAGACACGGAAATTTGGTGGGTCTTGGGTGGGGATTAGGCGGGTATTTGGTGGGGATTAGGCGGGGATGGATATCCAAGTGGGGGGGTGGGGCGGGGATGGTTTTGGAGTTGTACCCGCCGGGGCGGGGATGGGGATGAATATTAGACCCGCCGCGGGGATGGGGATGGGGATGGGGATGAAAATGTTAGGTGGGGATGGGGATGGGAAGGTCAACATCCGCCCCGCCCCGCCCCATTGACATCCCTACTCGGGACCCCTTGTTTATATGCTTATTTACTTCCGAATATTAATTCCCTTGGTTCATATACTAAGGCTCCGTTTACTTCACCTTATTTTTGCTGAACTAAAATTATTTTTACTGAATTGAAATTATTTTTGCTGAACTTAAATTAATTTTACTGAACTGAAATTATTTTTGCTGAACTGAAATTATTTTTACTGATTTTCTATTATATTTCTTCTTTATAGTTACTGAATTTTAATGAACTGAAATTATTTTTACTAAGCTGAAATTATTTTTACTAAACTGAACTTATTTTTACTAAACTGAAATTATTTTTACTAAATGATTTTTTTTACTTAATATTATTTTTTTAAGGTGAAGTGATCAGGGCCTAATTTGGAGATTTTAATTTGGAAGCCGATTAGTTTAGAAATAAACCGATGAGAAAAGGCTTTAAAATGGTAAAACTAGTTATTATAGTTGTTTCGGGTTTTTTGATATGTCTTGCGGTAGAGTTATAATTCGAAGACTGCCTCGCCGAGTGCGCTGTACTCGAAACGAACAGAGCTCCGGTTGATCGGAGTTCTGCCTCCGAAGATTAAGTTAGTACCGAATGGGGAAAGCAGAAAGTAAAAACGAAAAGTTAATGTGCCTTTCTCGGATCCCGAGATAAGGGCAGTAATTGCTTGTAATAATTGATGAATAGTGAATGTCTGAAATTGATTGTGTTCCCACTATAATAAATTTCCCTATTTATAGGGGTATGGGAGTGCGTGCTCCTTTAGGTCATATTTACCTAGGTTAATGGGTTGTGCCGTTTTACAGCGCAGTGGAAGTTTGGCCTTTGAAGGCCATCATTTTTCCCAATGATGGGGGTGCTACGAGTCTTACCTTGGTTGGTTCGTTTAGAACGCTCCGTATGTTGACACGTGTCACTCTCTTATTAGTCCACGTGTCTAGGACTTTTTTGCCCAAAACATTTGCCCATCACAGGGATGACGTGGCATGGCGCGTGTCGCTTGTGACACATGTCAGACATATGAAGGGTGACGGTTATTTTAACCGTTCACTTTTCCCTTGAAGTTACGGGGATGCCCCTGTTTTTTACCCCTCTACAAATAGAGGATTTTACCCCCTATTGTTATGTTTCCAGAAAATTTTGAGATAGAGAAAGTAACTTTGTCGCCTGTGGTCAAGCTGCTTGTAGTACAGCCGCCTCATTGCTCAAGCTTTCTTCTGTCTGATGTAACTTTCTCTCATTCTTTTTGCCTCTGGTTTATTTGTCGTTTGTGCTATTTTTCATTGCTTTCAAAATGGTTTCACAAACACGTAGGACACGACCTAGGATAAAGTCAGCCTATCTCATAGTACGACTTAGTCTAGAACTAGGGGTGTCGTCTCCCCTTTACACTCTTCCAAAAGTCTAACGGGCTCTGTGTCTGTGCAGAACACAATGGACAAAACGAAAATAACAACCCACGAAGAAGAGGGAGACAGTACCATTAGGGTACCGACTGTTGGCGAGTCCTAGCACGATGAGTACTCCTAGCTTTTCTATTCTCAAAGAGTCAAATAATGAAAACAATGCATCCTGCTCTCAATAGGGGTCTCTTCAGTCGAATGCCGAGTCTGGTGGTTCTGATAAGGAGTCAGGATCAAAATCGTCTATGTCGACTAGAGATGTCGACATTAAGTTGAGGAAAGGGGAGCAGGAGAAGCCTCCACATCTGAGAAAGG